CTGTGGATCTGCAGCAGGCGACGTGGATGACTGTGGATCTGCAGTAGGCGACGTGGATGACTGTGGATCTGCAGCAGGCGACGTGGATGGCAGTGGATCTGCAGCACGCGACGTGGATGACTGTGGATCTGCAGCAGGCGACGTAGATGGCAGTGGATCTGCAGCAGGCGACGTGGAGACCAGGGGCTCTGCAGCAGACGGTGTGGAGAGCGTGGCGTGTGCAGCAGGCGATGGGTTCAGAGCTGCAGCAGGCGACAAGCTATAAAAAGCCACTGGGGTGGGTAGGCAAAACCTGGCACAGAGCATAGTTTTAACAATCTGTAACTGAGTGTCCAGACGTGTTAGGAAGCTCTCGGCCCCTGAGAGCCACTCCTGGTCTGGCTTAGAACCCATTTTTTGGCCAAATTATTCTGTCACTAACCAAGGTTTTGGATTCAAAATAGCCAGACACAGGAGTGCAAAAACAAGAATAGTTTTTATTTATTATGCTACTGGAGTCTCCGGATCCAATTTCAGTAACAGGTCTTTGCAGGCAAGTGGGGTGAGAGCCACCTGTCAGATTTTAAAGAGATGAACTGGTGGGAAAGCAGCTGCAAAAGGAGGCCTTTAATGTGTGAACAATGGGGCAATGCATGTTTGTGGTCCAAAGGGCAAAGCGGGGGTCAAACACAGGGAGTCAGTGGTACAAGGGTAATCCAAAAGTGTGATCCGTGAGTCGTGGTCATAGGCAGAAGAGGAGGTCGTTACCGAGGTCAGATATGCAGGCAAATCTAAGAGGGGTAGGCAAGGTGAGAAGTCCAAAAACAGGATACAAGACAAGGCAAGGATACAAGATACTATGATTGAAGGCTTCACTATCAGGGTCCATGAGTGGTGTAATAATTCGGCACCGGTGGAGAGGGAGAATGGAGTTTATAAAGGGTGCAGAGCAGGTGAACCAGATGAGCTGAACAGGTGAGTGGAATCAGGGCTGATTGCTGTGATAGGCTGAGGGGGTGTGGTGAACTGTTAACTGACAGGAGCAGATGTGAGCACTAACAGGAGCTGAAGGATAAACAAAACATGAAGGAGAGGGGCAGAAAACATGTCATGTCATGAAGGGGCAGGGAAGTGAGCAGATGGGGTCCAGTGGGGTCTGCTGATCATGACAACAAGTTGTAAGTAGTAGTTTATTTTAGTATATATATGTGTGTGTGTGTGTGTGTGTGTGTGTGTGTGTGTGTGTAAGGCATTTTAAACCCTTCCCAAACTCTTGCAATATTCTAAACAATGTTTCTAAACCCTAAACGCTCTAGAAGAGCACAGCATGTCATGATTTCAGCTCTCTGCCTCCGCTGCTCTCAGCCACCTGCAAGTACACACCTTCATGGCCACGCCCACTTCTATGCTCCGCATGGAGAACAGCTGATTAGCTACAGCAGGAAGTTTATCCTGCAGTATGAGTAGCACAAAGGTGAAGCAGGTGTTAAATAATTTAAAATAATTTGTTTTAAAAAAAAAATTCCATGCCAAACATGCGGCTCATCCATCAATCAGCCAATTGTGTGTCATGTCTAATCTTAATTTGAAAAACCGCGATAGTGAGTCCGTGATAAACGAACCGCGGAGTAGCGAGGGACTACTGTATTCAAGGTGGCAACTCTGTTATTGCGATCTGAATGGTATGGTATTTGATGCTTTGCACTGTAAAATGATGATCCCTCCCCCCATAAGAAACCTTGAAATGTTTTCCTTTTTCTCACTGGACTTGGACGGGTTTGGTTGGCTACGCTGAGCTGAGTTGAAGGGGAAGGGCCTTTGATGAGTTTCTATAAAACCAATAATTTAGTTTCTGGAAGCCAGAGCAGGTCAGAAATCAGTTAGTTCAATGCATGAATAAGTTCTGTACTTGCGATATACTCTCTGTGGGTCTGTCTGTTCTCCAAAGCTCTAATAAATTTGTAGAAGTCTACACCTGCTGCAACTTGGCTACTAAATGGTAAATGGACTGTACTTGTATAGCGCCTTTCTATCTTATTTCAAGATACTCAAAGTGCTTTAAACAACAATCTGTGCCTCATTTACCCATTCATACAGCTCTCTACTAGATCTCTACAAAGCTAATTGAACAAATCATTCTAAAGAGACTAATCAGAGCTTTATCACATTCATACACTGATGGGACACACATCAGAGGCTATGAGGCGTTCAGTGTCTTGCCCAGGGACACTTCGACATGTGACTGCTGGTGGATTCGAACCCCCAACTCTTGCATTGGAGGACGACTGCTCTAACCACTCAGCCACAGCCGCCCAGGAACTCACTAACTAACAGGAACTCGCAGCTTTGAGCACATTATTCCAGTTCTGTCCTCCCTTCACTGGCTTCCTGTGCGTGTCAGAGTTGATTTTAAAATTCTTCTGCTGACATTTAAGTGTCTTAATGTCCTTGCACCCTCATACCTCTCCGACCTCCTTCATCCTTATACTCCTTCTCGGGCCTTGAGCTCATCAGACCAGCTGCTTTTGGCCGTACCAAAAACCAGGCTAAAGCTCAGAGGAGATCGGGCATTTTCAGTCATTGGCCCTAAACTCTGGAACAATCTGCCCATCAACATTCAACAGGCCACCTCAGTCTCTGCTTTTAAATCTCTCCTCAAAACACATCTGTACTCATTGGCATTTAACACAGTGCGATCTCATTTGGTATTTCATTGTTGATTATTGTGTTCATCCATTTTGCTTTTACTCCCTGACATTTAACGCAGTGTGATTTGATTTAGTATTTCATTGTTTCTCATTATATTTAATTGTTTTTATGCTTTTATTCATGTTGCTGTAATATCTTGTTATTAATATTTGATGCTGTGATCTTTTTTGGTAGGCACTTTGATAACAGTTACTGTTTTAAATGTGCTATAAAAATAAATGTGACTTGACTTGACTTGACACCTGATCAGCAGTTTATCCGTTTTTTTAAACGACAGCGGCAATATGCAATCCTTTAAGGAATGCTACTTTCATAATGTTAGCATGTAGTCTTACTTTACTCAAAAGCCCATTTTGCGTACTGTTTTTTTTTTTTTTTTTCAATAATCAAATAAACTGACAAACAGTCCCAACCCCAAGAATAGCCTACACCAGAGGTTGCTCCAGATTTTGTTTTAGACTGCAAAAAACAAATGTGAGGAGGATGCAGGGTCATTTTTCCTGTGCAAAATGTCTGAGGCTGTTTCAAAACATAAAGTGTGCAGTTTGCGTTTTCATGAAGTTCTATTTACAGGCTTGACTCAAACTGAGTGGCATCTTGATGCTATGGTTTTCATAACAGTTTGTTTTTACTCTTTCGTCAGACTGCTATGGATCAGCTGCATATGCACTTCACACAGGCCATCCATAATACGGTGTTTCAAGTTGTGCTGGGATATGTAGAGCTGTGCGCCGGGAACGCCGACACCAAGTTCCAGAAGATGCAGTATAAAGACCTCTGCACGGTAAGGAGATGATAGGAGTGTACACGAGGTTTATGTGTTTGAATTCTATTTATCTATAATGCTCAACTCAGCAGTTAAGCAGCTCGAAGCTTGTCTGTGAAAACCAGTCAAGCATAAATACAAGTGCTTTGATAAATAATGTAAAACAATGTAGTGTTTCCCCTAGATTACTCGCCTTGAGAGGATGATCATCTCTTTGAGGGTTTTGTTGACAACCAGGGGGTTATTGAGAGAAGCGCTACGTTTGTGTTGCACATGGTTGTGGTGGGGCGGAGGTTGGTTAGTGTAGCACTACATTAGTACTGGCAGTTGTTGACGAGAGAGGTATTGGAGCAATACGTTTGTGTTGCTTGCTATTTGGAGTCTGAGCTGCTAATCTCCGTTCCCTGCCGGAAGTGGTGGAGCTGCTGGGTGGGGAATTTGGTAGGCGGGGCGTTGGGTTCTGTTGACAGACCAGGGCTCCCTCCTTGAATAATGGTAGGGGCAGCACTTGAACACACACACACACAAAGCTCCCATCTTCACTCACAACACATTCCCTGAACATTTATGTCTCACAGCCAAACTTAAAATGCCTTATTCCATGATGGAGGGGGGGATTCTTCAGAGTTTCTACGCTAGGTGGAATGAAGGAGGAGAAGAGAGCACGAAGAAAGTGATTGAGGGCATTGCAGCCCTTCATGAGATAATTAATCTTGCTCACTAAACAGAACAAATGCACTGGAGCAGAGGCACTTTCTGACTGACCCACACTTCCCTTCGTCTTTTCTTTCACCCTCTGAGAAAAATTTAAATAAATCTCATTTGGATGCCCAGCAAGCCAAAACTTGGCCAATACATCACAAAGTTGTCAAGAGTGAGTGATAATCCAACCTACAGAGTGGAAGGGTGCACGTACAGAGGTAAATGTTATCCTTGCATGAATGTACTCCACCATGACCTTTGTAGCTTTATGTTTGGCAGTGGTGTTTGACAGCACAGCATTTGCCAGGGGCGTTACCAACTGTTCTCCTGTCAGTAATGACCTGTCCTTTACCTCTTACCTTTGTGTTACCTCTCCCTACCATCACCCTTCATCTGTTCCTCTGTTTATGCATAGTTTCCTGTCCTGCTGTTATGAGGTGGCCTTAGAGGAAGTTATCTTTGTATGTTTGTCAAGCGCTTCAGAGACAGTTTTTGGCTGTTTACCAGTAGTTTTTTTTTTCATTTTTCACGTGTGCTTCTTAAACTAACGACATGGGCAAAGTGTTTTATCTTTCTCATCTTTTCTTTTTAAAAGCTGTGCCCTTTCCTCCTTTTTTCTCTCTCCTATCCTTGCCTGCTTTATGAGCTATGCTACAGGTCTGAGTAATAGTGTGCATGAAGCTGTGCACTAGTTACCGATGGATCCCAGTGTTTACTCGTGTTTGATGGATTCCCTGTCAGCAGGACAGTGTGTTGTCAGGAAGACTCTGCTCGTGCCACAACTGAACGTGCTTGTTGACGGCATACACTGAATGTCTCAGGACCGCGATGATGTTCTGTTTCAGTCTCAGCTGTGGATGGTGACAAATATGGCAGCACGTCCTCACACACAGATGCACACTAAAATAAATAGCCTTGTGAACTCTGACACATATAGTTCCTCTGTACCTGTGAGGGCCTTTCTGCAATGGGGAAGCAAGGACTGTATTTTATGAACGGACTTTTTGAGGTTGATGGCATTCTTACAGCTACAAAATTGACAAAAGAGAACGCATCATGTTCAGGTGGGACACCAGAGTGCAGTTTCTTTAACAACTAGTTCTTTTTAAGATTGAAATGTTCTTGAAATACCCATCTTTGTTCTTGTGTGAGGTTGTTGTTTTCTTCTTCATGTAAGTACTTACTGTTAGTTATCAAGTTTATTTTTTCTTTGGTAAAAACACTGGTGATAAGTTAAAGTTTTTTGTCTATCTAAACAAGTCTCACTTGTAAATAAGTCTTCGAGGCTCAGTGTGGTTTATCTGTCTAAGTAAAGGTTGAATTGATTTGACAAAATAAACTAACAAGCTTTCTAAAAAATTGCGTAGATGAACAGATGCTCGGATATATTCATCATTTAACACGGATTCCTCATTTTTCTGGACTGAATAAAACGTGCATTGAATTTAAGGAAATGCAAACGTGAGACGTCATTTATCTTTGACCCATCAAAATGAATGCGGTCATTTATTTACAGAATCAAAATTTAACATCAAACATTTACATTAATTTGGCAAATTATGAAAATAACAACATAAGCAATCAATCAGGAAAAATCATACGGCCATGATTTTTCCGTTGCTTCACCACAGACATTTATGAAAACTGTACAATTATGATCTTTTTCCCACACGGATGTGGATGAGCATTTTACACAGACATTTCTAAATATCTGGAAGTATATCTACTTGATAGAAAGTTTAAAGATGGGAAAGAAGTTTAGAGAAGAGTAAAAGATGGGGTTTGAGGGAGTGTGTTAACAGAACGGCACTCTCTGGGCTTTCTTCAGCTTTTCTTACGGTACACTTCGGTGGTGGAATCGACTCTTTTACCTGGAGATGTCTCAGGCGAGATTCCGTTTAACGCACCCTTCAGCGTCTCCGTAGGATGCTGTTACTCCTCCGGAGTAGCGGCGAGACTGTCCGACACAAGCTCACCTCAGTGGAAAATGTTATAATCCCATGAACCTCGGAAGAGCTCTGTTGTCATGTCAGGATCATCCCGTCTCTCACAGAACTGAACAGAACTGTCCCAGAACTGTTCCAGCACCATCCCAGAACTCCTAACAGAACTGAACTGTTTACAGAACTCGAGCAGAACTTCCACCAGAACTCTACCAGAACTCTACCAGAACTGAGTAGACCAGGAAGTACTGACATTTTAAAGAGCTGTTTTCCGGTCCACTTTTGGGAGTATTACCATTGGTCAGAACCGACCAGACGGGGTGTGTTTTGTGACGTAAGAGGTTAGAAGACAGCAAGAATTGTTATGGAAAGATCAGAAATGTTCTCACAGACAGAGAGAGTTTTGTTTTGGCGCGTTTCAGAAACAGGTGCCAAAAACCTCTATATTTATGTCTGAGAGGATTCTAAAAACATGCCAACAACTTGTTTTGCGTTTGACTCCAACCTTGGACCAACTTACACTTGCTCATTCAAAAGCAGAAATCAGAAAAGGCATAATTACTCTGTAACAGCTTTGACATGAGTTCTAACTTTGCGTGAGAAAAAATCATTACACAGTTAATAAAATTGATTAGTTCACTGCAACATCTAAAATGGTTTGAACTAAGACACTTTGATTATCAACATTTGTAAAATAGTAATGATAATAAAACAGAGAGTGTTCTTTTCACTTGAATCTTCAAGAGAGAAAGTCTCAGGATGGGTGAACCTGTATTTCTGGATTCAAATCAATGAAATGACAGTTCCTGTCCCACAAGGTTCTTAAGGTCAAGATTTTTGACCTTAGACTTAGTTTTTGACATGGGCCTAGTCCACTACATTCTTGTGTGAGGTTGTTGTTTTCTTCTTCATGTAAGTGCTTACTGTTAGTTATCAAGTTTATTTTTTCTTTGGTAAAAACACTGGTGATAAGTTAAAGTTTTTTGTCTATCTAAACAAGTCTCACTTGTAAATAAGTCTTCGAGGCTCAGTGTGGTTTATCTGTCTAAGTAAAGGTTGAATTGATTTGACAAAATAAACTAACAAGCTTTCTAAAAAATTGCAATTCAGAACTAACGGTTGTATCTTACTCTGCAGCTGTTTAGAGCCTAGCTGGTGGCTCAAACTTGATAAAATTGAGACAAGAGCCAACATTCAGTTGCAGAATCATGGAATACAGAGTATTTGTGATGGGAGAACCAGGCTGCTGTGTTTTGTGCTGCCTATTTCAGAAAAATGACTGCTTATTTTAATTTGCATGGCTGTCAAAACTGTGTTCTTGGCCATGCACATTATTTTGCTGCTCACCACCCATCAAACCCACCTCAGCCTACTTTGAAGCTACCTTGGAACGTCTCAACAAAAAAGAAACTGCCCAGAGGACCTGACTTAATTTTTGTTAGATTTTTCGTTAACACTTTATTTGAAGGGGTGCGCATAAGACTGACATGACACTGTCATAAACATGAACGAGTCTTTATGAATGTTCATGACTGTTGTCATTAAGTCATTCGGTAAATTATGACGCCTTTAATGCAAAGTTGACATTGTTTAAAATGTCTTTGTTATGACAACTTCACATTTTAAACAGTCAGCTTTGCATTAAATGTGTCATAATTTACTGAATGACACTTAGTGACAACAGTCATGAACATTCATAAAGACTCGTTCATGTTTATGACAGTGTCATGTGCACACCCCTTCAAATAAAGTGTTACTGATTTTTCTTTCTAGATTATTGAGCATGAATCAGGATACTAATAGAGTTCAGTCTTCTTCTTCTTTCGGCTTCTCCCTTCTTCAGTGGTCACCACAGTGAACTAAGTCGCACGAAGACTTGGTGATTGTTTTTACGCCGAGTGTCCTTCCTGACAACCACAGACCACCGAGCTACCACAGCCCTCTGTGGAGCAGAGAGCTGCTATTTATTCAATTAAATTCAATATAGTGCCAAGTCACAACAGAAGTCGTCTCAGGGCACTGAACAGAAACATTCATATATAAAATAATAATTTAACATTATCTATCTGAGGAGCAGACTGTTTTGAGTTTAACTCCATCACAGAACTCTCATCTTGAGCAAGCATGAAGGCGACAGTGGAAAGGAAAAACTCCCTCATGAGGAAGAAACCTTTAGCAGAACCAGGCTCAGGACAAGCGTCCATCTGCTTCAACCAGCTGGGTTTGAGAGGAACGGGAAGGAGGAACAGATACACAATGGCAGGTCAAGAATCACATGTTAAGATAGAAATAGTATCAAATGAAAACTATTCAGTTTTAACAATTCATTTAAGGACCTGAGGTCACTTTGTCCTCTAGTAGTCTAAGTCTATA